CACAAAGAAAGGATAACCTTCCAAATAATTGACTCCCCTACAGCTTCCATCATTTTGGGCTTTCCCTGGTTAGTTAAGCATAACCCGGTACTTGATTGGGATTCTCTAGATATACTCTCCTGGGGGGTATCTTGTGAACAAGACTGTATGGCCCGTTTACATCCCGTTTGTTTACTTAATGTGCCTACAGCTAAACCACTTTCTGTTTCTGTCCCTCCTGTGTATGCAGACCTCGCATTGGTCTTTGAAAAGAGGGAAGTTGATAAACTACCCTCACACCGGGATTATGATTGTGCCATAAATCTGTTACCTGGAACGATGCCTCCTAGGGGTAAGGTCTACCCGCTTTCTGAGAAAGAAAACCAGGTCATGGAGGAGTACATACAGGAATCCTTACGTAAAGGTTTTATCAGAAGGTCCTCCTCTCCGACTGGTGCTGGTTTATTTTTTGTTGCCAAGAAAGAGGGCGACTTGAGACCATGTATAGACTATAGGGGCCTGAATAATATAACAATTAAAAATGCTTATCCTATCCCTCTCATTACTGAGTTGTTTGACCGGGTTAAAGGTTCTAGATATTTTACTAAACTAGACCTCAGGGGGGCTTACAACTTGGTTCGTATAAAAGAAAATGATGAATGGAAGACAGCGTTCAATACACGCAGTGGGCATTACAAGTATCTAGTCATGCCTTTTGGACTGTGTAATGCTCCTGCTGTCTTTCAGGACCTCATAAATGATGTCCTTAGAGATCTACTGCATGTCTGTGCTGTGGTTTATCTCGATGATATACTTGTATTTTCTCCTGATTTGGAGTCACATCATGCCCATGTGAGGAAGGTACTTAAGAGATTGCTACAGAACGGTCTTTATTGTAAATTGGAGAAATGTTTATTTGACCAGAAATCAGTACAATTCCTAGGGTACATCATTTCTGAACAGGGATTCAGCATGGATCCTTCTAAATTAGAAGCCATATTATCTTGGCCTCTCCCTCAAGGCCTTAAGGCAATACAGCGATTTATAGGCTTTGCCAATTATTATCGCAGGTTTATTAAAAACTTTTCATCGGTCATTTCTCCTATCACGAAACTAACTAAAAAGGGTTTGCACCCCAGGGTTTGGACTCCTGAAGCCATCAAAGCCTTCAAAAGGCATTTGCCACTGCCCCTGTGCTACACCATCCTGATCCTTCCCTTCCCTTTATAATGGAAGTAGACGCTTCAGAATCAGGTATAGGAGCTGTATTATCACAAAGATTATCCTATAACGAACCCCTCCATCCCTGTTGTTACTTTTCTAAAAAACTGTCTGATTCGGAAAAGAATTACGACGTCGGAATAGGGAACTATTAGCTATTGTGATGGCTTTTAAAGAGTGGAGGTACTTATTAGAAGGAGCTAGACACAAAATCCTGGTTATAACTGATCATAAGAATCTCTCCTATATAGCTGATGCTAAAAGGTTGTCCTCTCGTCAAGCCAGATGGTCCTTATTTCTTTCACGCTTTCAGTTCATTATCACATATAGGCCTGGGTACCATAATGTCAAGGCTGATGCTATCTCCCGACAATATGAACCTTTGGAGTCTATCGCCCCCACTCCTGAACCCATTGTACCCACGTCTAAGATAATAGCTGCTACCCGTTTAGTTATTTTGTCTCTTTTCCTTGATGGTATCAAGGCATACCAAACCCAAGCACCCTCTGAGACACCTGTTGGTAGATTATACGTGAAAGAAAAAGATAGAAAGAAATTGTTAGCTTTATTTCACACCGCCAAAACGGCTGGCCACCCAGGGGTTACCAAAACATACAAGGGTCTCCTTCAACAGTTTTGGTGGCCTTCACTTAAGCAAGACGTAGTGGATTATGTGCAGGCTTGTCGTGTTTGTGCACAGTGTAAGTCCCCTAATGTCAAACCCCCGGGACTCCTCATGCCTTTATCCGTACCCAAGAAACCATGGACCCACTTATCCATGGACTTTATTGTAGATCTTCCTTCATCCGATGGAATGACAGTAATTTTGACTGTGACTGATAGATTCTCTAAAATGGCACACTTTATTCCACTTAAGAAACTACCTTCTGTGGTTCAGTTGGCTCAGGTATTTGCCAAAGAGGTTTTCCGCTTGCATGGTATACCACAGGATATCGTATCTGACAGGGGTCCTCAATTTGTCTCTCGGTTTTGGAGGGGCTTTTGTGCTGAGATGGGGATTTCCTTGTCATTTACTTCCTCCTATCATCCACAATCTAATGGAGCGGCCGAACGGGCGAATAAATCTGTGGAGTTATATTTACGTTGCTTCACGAATGCACACCAGGACAACTGGTCTCACCTCCTTCCTTGGGCTGAATTCGCCAGGAACACTGTGACTCATTCGTCCACTGGCTTAAGTCCCGCTTTGGACGAGCACCTCACCTCCTTACGGAAGATGTGGGATCAGGTCCATGCTACTCTTTCTCGTGCGACTGCTACTCAGAAGAGATTTGCTGATCGTCGCAGGGGTGCTGCTCCCTCTTATGTCCCGGGTGATAGGGTTTGGTTGTCCTCTAAGAATCTCCGCCTCAGGGTCCCCTCAATGAAATTCGCGCCCAGGTTCCTTGGCCCCTATAAGGTATTGCGTAGGGTCAATCCTGTGTCCTACTCCCTGGCCTTGCCTCCTTCCATGCGTATACCTAACACTTTCCACACCTCCCTTTTGAAGCCCCTGCTCTGTAATCGATTCTCTGGTCCTCTCAAGCGTCCAGATTCCCTCCGCGCTATCTCTAATGACGTGTACGAAGTGGCTGCTCTGCTTGATTCTCGTTTTTCTCGGGGCCGGTTGCAGTATCTGGTTGATTGGAAGGGTTACGGCCCTGAGGAGCGGTCCTGGGTTTCTGCCTCTGACTTGAATGCGCCCTCTTTGATCCGCTCCTTTCATGAGCGGTTCCCTTTGAAGCCTTCGGCTTCCCGTTGGGCGGGCCTCGAGGGGGGGGTTATGTCAGGGATCCGCAGCGGCTAGGAGGGGAGGCTGCATGCCACTTGCAGCACTCACCCTCAGTTCGTCGCCGCCCGCGGTCTCCCCTCCGCTTACCTGTCGCAAGCGACGTCTCCTCTCTGCCGCTTGCCGCTCTTGTCCTCCACGCCCCCCAGCGGCAGCATGTATAACGCTGCACGCTGGGAGGTCACTGAATTATGTAAACGCCGGGGTCACGTGAGTGACCCGGCGTTAAAGGAACAGTACCACAATCACAGTGGGAGGTATAGATATCCCCCACGTGTGATTGTTAATTCTGATTGGAAGTTATCCAATCAGAATTAAACCAAGGGCATTTATACTTACCTTTCCTGTCCCTCAGTGCCCTGTTGTGGTCTTGTGATACCTGTAGCGTAGTGTTCTCGTCTTGCTCTCTGGTTACTGATTATTTGGCTCGTTATTCCGATTATCCTGTCTTCTCCACTCCTTTGACCTCGGCTTGTTTCTCGTTCTCCCGTTTTCTGGCTCCCTTTACTTGGCTTGTCTCCTGACTATTCTTAGCGTGCTTAGCCCGGCCACTCTAAGGACCGGTATAGCACCCTTCCTCTCTGTGACCTGTTAGCGTGTTAGGTTCCGGAATCGTGACACTAGGAGCATCCTTCAACGGAGGTATGACGTCATATTCCGGCCCCGGTCTCATTAAGCAGTGCGCTGGGGTGGGGGAGCAGAGACAGAACAGCCAGCTCCCCCTGCGGCCGCCAAAAGAGCTCTCTCTGCGGCCGCAAGAAGAGCCAGCTGCCTGCCCGGCCCCAGGTGCCGACGGCCCACCGGGAAATTTCCCGGTATCCCGGTGGGCCAGTCCGGCCCTGTTTAAAACTACTGCATGATTTCTTTGTGCACCAAATACTGGCGAGATGGCACCGTGTAGAAAAGTCCAAACAGTGTCTGTGAGTTAAAATGGCCACAATCCATTGTTCTCACCATGTGCTTCATCCATTGTTCTCACCATGTGCCTCTGATACATGAAATGGTGGCCACCCAGTAACTCCACAGTATGTCCCCAGATGGTTCTTAAAGGGCCAGCAGCAGCACAACACAAATCCATTATGCCCAAATCATGTCTTTAAAGGGCAATATATCCCAGTGGCCATAGTCACATGGTAGGAGTGTCACGTATTCATCCGCTTATAAAAATGTGGTTAATGACATTTACTGCCCACACAGGAAAAGTTGTGCTGAGCAACAACCAAATCCACAGAAGGGTTAATGCTGAGCAGCAATTATGCAAATGGAATCTGTTAACTGGCTTTGGGGTCAAAGGCCGGTTACAGCCTAGCAGACGTAGAGGAATTTAGGCCCAGTTCTCATCCTGCTCAGTGCCGTGTCATGGTTGTCCGAGAGCGTTGTGACGGACCGCTGGCACTCCGACTGAGTACCTCCTCCTAGTGCTCGCTGAGGACTCCAAGCACTCCAACCGACACCATCAGCACTGCAGACCCCACTTCCAGCAATGCAACTGCGCCGGGGTGTCTGCTGTCTCCACCCACCCTGGACCCAAGGCCAGGATCCAGCTTCCAGTGGGTGAACCTCTCTTTCCCCAGAGAGCAAGAACAGGAACAAGCTCTTAGCAGAACTTAGTGATCATACCCTGGGGAGTATAGTGATTATAGCAATCCCCAGAGTGTATTTCTCCAATCCCCCAAACATGAGCCAAGGCTTAATGCTGGAACAAGACTGATTTACTGGCACACAGGACTCACAATTTATGCAACACAAAACTCCTCCTCTGGGCCAGGCTAGATAATTGAGTTTCTACAATACACAAAGCTCAATTATCTGCTGGCCAGAAATAATACAGTTTTTACAGCATATTCATAAATTCTAAAATATACATCACATTCACATAAAAATTATATATTCACAATCAATCCATTCAGGGAAACAACATATTAAAAAATGGCATGAATCAGACCAGGGGTTCAGAAGTTAGTAAAGTATCTTTTGGGGCCTGGCTGGCAGCATGGATATCTGGCCCAAACCGGTTTTACAGAGCCCATAGTTTCAGATAGTCCCTTTTTAAATGCAGAGATTAACCCACTATTAGTCCAGTCTACCTCGGAAGCTAGGGTACGAAATTCTATGGCATACTTCGAGATAGACCAGTTCCCTTGTCTGATATGCATCAGGGCAGTAGAGGCGTCTTCCTCCCTGCCTAATGGTTCAAACGTAAGTTTAAATTCTGTAATAAACTCCAGGTAATTGTGTGCCACACTCCTATTGCTCTCCCATAATGGACTGGCCCAAGCTAAAGCTTTACCTTTTAATTGATTCATCGGGTAACCAATTTTAGCTCTGTCTGTGGGAAAAGATCCCAGTGAGGCCTCAGAATGATACTCTATTTGGTTAAGGAATCCCCGGCATTCTTGGAAATTACCATCAAAATGCAAAGGAGGAGATAGAGAGATAGTTGTATACTATAGGCGGAGGTACACAAGGCGGAGGTGACACAGTAGGAGCAGCCCTGATGCATATTTATATTTTTTACCATTACTACTGGCATTGTTCCTGCTATTTTAAAAAAAAGAAGGATTGTGGTCCTTAACCACATACACTCCCTGATCAGAGCCGATGTGGAAGGCTGTAAGTACGAATTTTACTCTTTCCACCATTATTTTAAACCAACGATATTGCACCATATGTGTTCTCCTTCACTCTAGAAATCAAGAAATGGAAGAACACTTACCAAAGAAGGGATAGGGTCGCCTCCACGGACCACACAAGCTATTGTATTGAGCTATACAAACTTAGCTCTTAAAAGTGTGAGTGGGAATTTTTTCACTCTATTCATACATACCTTTTATACCACAGTATACACTATGTTTGGTTGTATTTGTTTATATTTTTAAGGTATTGCATACCACCAATGAACGATTTTGTATAAACATTAAGGTATTGTTACACAGAAGTTGATACCCCAGTACATTTTTGCACGGTTGATTTTACCAATATACAGCGCTTCACCTTCACTTCACGATTGAACTATCTTAAAGATAAGAATTTGGTGTTACAGCAGCAGATTTACCTCACTTGTCTTATATATTAGCGCTAGTACCTTCTTCTTGTTTGGATGTTATGTTTATTTATATGGATTTTATTTTGGTGAATAATCTTTTATTGATTTTCAACAAATAAAAGTAAAAGAAACAGAATGAGACTTGCAGGTCCCCAGTGTGATGAGCATTTCGGTCACGCTGGAGCCAATAAGAGATTCGGTACAGCGTTAAATAGGACGCACAGGTCCATTAGTGGATCATCACAAACATAAGTCTAGCAATTACATTGACAAACTTTGTGCCCGTTTCACCTCCGCATAATGGACGGTTCTTCTCCCCACTCCATCTCTAAGTCCCTTCCTGTACCAGTATCTTCTTAAGACTGGGTCACATATTAAATGTCTTTAAAAGGTGAGATTATTCACAGTGTGTAGAAGATTGAGACACCTACCAACTCATGCTGGGTAGAGCAGAATTTGATTACCATATGGATTCTATGGTAGCGTCTATGCGTATCACAGAATTCACAGTAAAAATTTTTTTTTGTTATTTCGCTTTTGAAAGTGTTCTGGGAATGCAATGATTTGGAGAGTACTCCTGCTCATAGTTTTGGAATTCCATTGATTGCATTTGGGCCCCCCAAATTCATTAGTAATAAAGCAGTCTAATCAAAAGCTTCATATAAAAAGTTTACTTTTAATTATTTTAGTGTAAAAAATACATTTTGTCCAATGTAGAGGGGGGTACAGTACTGGAGACACTAGTATAAGTCTGATTGCATTGGAAATCAACAGTTAGTGCTGGAAAAGTCCACCCAAACGCGGCTCATGAGTAACAGAATCCTTGCACATTGGACGGGCACCGCCCGCGGGAAATAAGAGGTCCGGTTAGTGTTACAGACAGAATCCATTCTACTAGAATATACTGCAGGTAGTCCGGGGGATATTTAATGCCGAGGTCATAATTCACTGTGACTGGGTCTTGGGGTCAGCTCCCTGTAATCCTTCCTGCGCCGCACTCTGTATTGCAGCAGGTTGGCATACTCTGTGAGCAGGGAACGCCAATAACCAGAAACATCCTCCATGCGCAGATGCTCAGTGATAAAGACGCGTCCCCTGAGAGGGAAGAGTTGATTAATAGAATCCAATAATATTCACAGAATAGAAACAGGAAATGACAGTTGCTCAAAGAATGTAAATCAATGGGAAGCAGTGTCTGTGCCTGCAGATACCACCGGGCATGGTAGGTAAAGGGAGAACCAGGACAGGGCGTGGGGGCATGCCAGGACTGAGTGAAGGTGGGAATACCAGGACAGAGGGTGAGTGGGGGGCGGGAAACCAGGACAGAGGGTGAGTAGGGGGCGGGAAACCAGGACAGAAGGTGAGTAGGGGGCGGGAAACCAGGACAGAGGGTGAGTGGGGGGTATGCCAGGAGAGAGGGTTAGGGGGTGGGAATACTAGGACACAGGGTGAGTGGGGGGCAGGAAACCAGGACAGAGGGTGACAAGGGGGCGAAGGGGGGGTGGGAAACCTGGGCAGAGGGTGAGTGGGGGGATGCCAGGAGAGAGGGTTAGGGGGTGGGAATACTAGGACAGAGGGTGAGTGGGGGGTGGCAAACCAGGACAGAGGGTGAGTGACATGTCTGTACAAAGGATGGGCGGGGAGTGTGCATGCCAGGACAGCTTGTGATGGTGGCAGAGATGGAGTTAATGGGGAGGAGGAAATATGACCAGGTGTGGGTAGAGAAGTTGACACACCTTTCAGCAATTTTCTTGGCTTCATCATCATTCTCAGAGACAAAGTGCAGAAGGTCCCTTAAGAAAAAGAGCAAACGTGATTGGAGTATTGAAAAGAAAAGAAAAAAAAAAAAGAGGGAGAAGCAGCAGGAAAAGACAAAGTACATTTGACAAAAAGAGGGGAAGAAGCATTTGTAAAATGAGATGATTAGTAACGAAATCAAGAAACAATGGAAAGAAAGTAGTTAAACATGGGGGGTACAGAGTAGACATGAAACTGGAGAGAACAAAAGAATGATCTGGAGATACAGTGGCCGAGCAGCCGGCGAGATCTGCAGGGACGGCCAGAAGCCGAGCAGCCGGCGAGATCTGCAGGGACGGCCAGAAGCCGGGCAGCCAGCGAGATCTGCAGTTGCGTCCAGAAGCCAGGCAGCCGGCGAGATCTGCAGGGGCGACCAGAGGCCGGGCAGCTGGCGAGATCTGCAGGGGCGGCTGGAGACCAATCAAACTAACAATGGGAAGAGTTGAAAGACTTGAAATTGTCCTGTTGGCATTACCTTACATCACTCAGGTCCTGGCTGATCGGAATATAGTGCACCCATGGCTCCAGGCGATGGTAGAAGAATTCCTGCCATTCTTTGCCCACGTGGAAGACCAGAGACCCACAAAGGAAGAGATGCTTCAACCGGAAACTGGCTGCCACACCACGGAAATTAAACAAATACCTGAAATAGAGAGCACAAGCAAGGGGTTGAGAATGAGGACATTATGGGGGACGGAGAGGGGTCCGAAAGATGTAGGGTGAGTTGTGGAAATAATAAGAGCTAGGAGGTGGTTTGGGGAAAAGTGCCTAGAATCAGATAGATGTGATGTGCAGTATGAAGATTTGAGTGGAAAGGAGTGAGGGTGGGGAGAATTTAAATAGTGGGATGCAATGCGAAAAACAAGAAGTTAATGATAATGAGTCAGTGATATACGACAGCTGATTAATTAAAGATCACGATAAAGGCTGAGGAATTAGAGGCAGATGTTGTATCAGGACATACTGTGTAATTAGGGAAGAGATAATGGGCAGAGTGGGGATAATGAAAAATCAGATGATAATTGGCAAGCGATTATATTTTGACGTACTTAAACTCACAGTGATCCACCAGTGGGACCTCTTTAGCTGGAGGCCTTCCGAGAGTATCCTGTTGGTAACCCAATCAAAATGTTAGCACAAAGCGAGTAGGGAAGCTATGTACATGGGAATAACGTCATGCATTGGGAAATGGGAGGGAGCTTCACACATGAATAATGTGGGAGAGGAGAGGGGTAGAGGTGAAAGCTAAACTATAATGATGACTTGAGGTTGTCCTGTTGGCGTTTCCATTCCTTGTGATCTCACAGGGAAAGGGGAAGTTCAATGCACAGCTCAATCTTTACCCAAAAGCCCGCTCTAAGAGTGCTTCCCACTCACCATTTCTGAGATGTTGAATATTGCCAAATACATGTCCTCACCTTCTCCGATCTCCATGCCTGGTTCTTTGTATACTCTGCATCCACCAGCTCAGGGCTCTCTCTGGACAGTAGTATCAGCGGGTCTCGCTCGGGACTGGTCCTGTAATGAAACAAAGGCCATGTGGTCTGCAAGATACCTTCTCGGAGTACAGAATATAATAAAATTCTGATAATTTGGGGGGATAAGATGGAGGTGAGAGGCATAGCAGCCATGTGAAGGAGAGGAGGAGCAGGAGATGTTGGAAAAATAACAGGGAGCAGAGAGGCAGAATGGGCCTCAGTGAATAGAGAGAATGTGGCAGATACAGTGGAAGCGGTTGCTTGACAGCATGGAGGTGGCTGGCAGAGTGGGAGTGGTTCTTGGATAGCGAGGAGGTGGCTGGCAGAGTGGGAGTGGTTCTTGGGTAGCGAGGAGCAGGCTGGCAGAGTGGGAGTGGTTCTTTGGTAGCGAGGAGGTGGCTGGCAGAGTGGGAGTGGTTCTTGGATAGCGAGGAGGTGGCTGGCAGAGTGGGAGTGGTTCTTGGATAGCGAGGAGGTGGCTGGCAGTGTGGGAGTGGTTCTTGGATAGCGAGGAGCAGGCTGGCAGAGTGGGAGTGGTTCTTGGATAGCGAGGAGCAGGCTGGCAGTGTGGGAGTGGTTCTTGGATAGCGAGGAGCAGGCTGGCAGTGTGGGAGTGATTCTTGGATAGCGAGGAGCAGCTGGCAGTGTGGGAGTGGTTCTTGGATAGCGAGGAGCAGGCTGGCAGTGTGGGAGTGGTTCTTGGATAGCGAGGAGCAGGCTGGCAGAGTGGGAGTGGTTCTAGGATAGCGAGGAGGTGGCTGGCAGTGTGGGAGTGGTTCTTGGATAGCGAGGAGCAGGCTGGCAGTGTGGAAGGGGTGGTGGTTGAGCAAGAAAAGCCAATATCGCTTTAAAGGCTGTCAAAGGATTATATGAATATATTAATCATTTCAGAAACTCACTGTCTAATTTAACAACAAAGCACCAAATCTCCCCATTATCTGACCTGGATCCTCTGAAATAACCTTTCGGAATTTTCTTATCCCAGGGCCAAAGGTTCGCTGCCCTAAACAGACAGAGACATAGTGTCACTCAATACAGAGACAGATACAGTGTCACCCAATACAGAGACAGATACAGTGTCACCCAATACAGAGACAGATACAGTGTCACCCAATACAGAGACAGATACAGTGTCACCCAATACAGAGACAGATACAGTGTCACCCAATACAGAGCCAGATACGGTGTCACCCAATACAGAGCCTGATACGGTGTCACCCAAAGCAGAGACAGATAATGTGTCACCCAATACAGAGACAGATACAGTGTCACCCAATACCCGTATGTAAAAAATGCACAAAATTTTTTACCACAAACTTTGGCATACATTGGTGAAAAAAATGGGGGCATGTTAAGGCACAATATGCACCTTATGATTTACCCTGGAGTGTCTACTTTTACAAATGGTAGGCCTTTGTTGGGTTTTTTAAACAGTCAAACTGTTATAATACCCCAAATGGAAGCGAAGGCTCATTAAATCCATCTCTCAAAATTCTACTGTGAATACTGAAAAGGACAGTTATCCTGTATGGCACTGTAACTTCACGAAATAGTGCCGAAGACATACAATGGGGGTGTCATTTTACGCAGAAGACTTAGCTGAGCATAATTTGGGGGGTTTGAACTTAGTGGCCCATATGAAATAATGGGGTGTCATTTTACTCAGCAGATGTAACTGAACACAAAATAAAACTTTGTACAGGAATAGCACTCACCAACTTTACAAAAATACACGAGAATTTCTTTGTTATAAGTTTGTGTGCCAAAAACCAAAAAGAACACAATTTTACTCCAATATTTAGCAGAGGTTGGCAGTGAAATGGCTACGCAGAAAGTGTCAAAACAACCTTAGGTAAATAGCCCGTGATGTCTACTTTATATAAATATATACTTTTGTGTGGCAATTTTGTTTTCTTTTATGGTTATTAAGCTTACAAGACAAACATACAAAATTCTAAAATCACTCCACATTAAAAGTCTATTTTACTCCTTGTGCTTTGTGACCTGTAACTACCAAAAAAACTTAAAATCTCAGACACATTATATATTCTGTAAATCAGAACAACTAAATTAATTTATTTTTAATTACTTTTCTTAACCTGCACTAATTATGCACACATTATTATTGCAAAAACTGTAAAAAAAAAAAAACCCAAAAATTTTTCATTTATTTTACATTTTTCTGTATTTTTTTATAATAAATAAGCATTTATATATATGTGTGTTACATCAAATTAACGCCCTTTCTGTCCTTTAAAAAACAATGCATAATGTGTGTTGGTGCAACAAATTAGTAAAATGCAAATTGCAGTTGAACGCAAACATCAAAAAATGAAAAAAAATGCTGTTGTCATTAAGTGAAAGACAAGCTTTTGAAGCTCTGTCCTTAAGGGGTTAATTTATTTTTTGTATATGTTGTAAAAATACAATATTACATTACCACCGTTCCCCAACCCCATATAGAGCAGTGTGCGCCCCAATAAATGGTTGTAGTGGCCATCTGGAGTACTACTTACAAACTCAGTTGTTCTCTCATAAGGTCCCAGCGCCCCAGCCCAGTGGGGTAAATTGGCCATACAGCAGGACCTCCTTCCCAAAATGTCCACGCAGGGTACAAAATATCCTGATAATCTGAAGTCTGTAATTGGAAAAAGACTTTGGTCAGGAAACCCGTCCAACTGGAACTTTGCATCTCAGAAACATGATTTTAATTCCTGAACTTGAATAGCTGTGTAAACCCGTGTGGGTGGCGAGCTGCTCTATTATAGAGTTTTAATGTATAGATCATGTCCCTGCAGTCTCACTGCTCAATTCTCTGCCATTTAGGAGTTAAATCAGTTTGTTTACACAGCCTGTGGTGGAACCACCATACTGCAGCAGAGTACCTTCCTGCAGTGCATCAGCCAGAGTCGCAGTGTACAGTGATATAGCTCTAATAGCTATATAGCCGCTCACCCAAACACTAGCCAAGACTTAGTGAAGGGTGAAGTAGAACAGCACACATGTATACAGGGGGTTATCAAAAAAAACAATACAAGTCACTCCCCAGCGTCCTGATATTTAGGACAGAATTAGGTTAATTACCTGACTGACACCAAGACTCATTGCACAATAAACAAATGACATTCCTTTCTGTGTTACCTTTTATATAATAACTCAATTCCCAGACACACAGGCGCGAATGCAATTATCCCCTGAACATAAGAAAAACCTCTGTGTTTTACACTTTGTACAATAATTCAACACTGACATAGTAAAATAACTTAAGGGACTCTTTAGGCACCTAAATAACTTTAGTTTTACAACTTTTAATGATGTGGGTTTGGGGTCTCACTGTTCAATTCTCTGACATTTGTTTTCATTTCCAAATCAGATCTTACAGCACAGTTTGTTTACTTTAGAAGTGCTTATCTCCTACTTGGCTATTTGAACTTTTATCACACACAGACTGCTGCAGGCTCTAGCAAGCTATCAACAGTGCAGGAGATTAGAAATTCTACATTAAACAGACTGTGCAATAAAGTGTAGACATATCTACAGGAAATGTTTAAGGCTGTATGACTGTAGGCGTAAAGGCCAAGACTCCTGCCCAAAGACTATTGTCCCAGAGACCCCTTTTTGTCTGCTGAACTAAAGGGACACTATAGTCACCAAAACAACTTTAGCTTAATTAAGCAGTTTTTGTGTATAGATCATGTCCCTGCAGCCTCACTGCTCAATTCTCTGCAACTTAGGATTTAAATTTGTTTATGAACCCTAGTCACACCTCCCTGCATGTAACTTACACAGCCTTCCGAAACACTTCCTGTAAAGAGTCATCTAAAAAGTTTATCCTTCCTTTATTGCAAGTTCTGTTTAATTTAGTGTAACGGCTACCCAGGTTGTAAGGGGGTATCAGCCGTTGGAGATGTCCTTTTCCTGGCAAGCTGCTGTGTAGTAATGGAGTTTCTTATTCCCATCCACAAGATCCAAGAGTAGAGTCAGGCATAGCTGTAAAATGGAGCAAGGTAATTGTGGAGTAAATCCCCTTCCAAGAACGAGACGAGGTTACGTTTTGAAGGGTCAAGCAGAACTGGCTTTTATTGACAGGGATTCTCCTTTTATGCAATTCTGCCCTTGGGAGGGCGACACCTACATAATTAGTACAGTACCCAATCACAAACATGGTACATCCCACAAGTCTCCTCCCCTCAGATAAACAGTTAACATAATTAACACACACACACACATTTTTACCCAAGTTTTGGATGTACCCCAAATACTTGGAGTACACCCTTAAATTCAGTATCCCAGATAGCCATCATCTAGGGGAACAACATATTAAAAAATCATCCCATTTGGTAAACGCGTTCGGGAGTTATGGGAGTTTAAAGTTTTGACCAACCGCATAGGCACACTAGCCGAAAATAGTTCCATAAGTTTTGGCCTTGCGGTCGGTCCTCGTTTGTGCGATGAAAAGGCACAAAAATCCTGCCATCCGTTTAGGTCTTGCTGGTCGTTGGAATCCCCACACGTAATATATCCTATCTACCGAACGGCAGAGCGTTCGGTAGTTTCAGCACAAATTTACGGTGTTATGGAGGTTTCAGCGGTGTTCGCCTACTCGAGTGTCCGATTTTAGTTCCAGACACTCGACGGCAAATCACCGCTGTGACAGAACCATCCGTCTGACTATTGTGGTGGATTCGTCTGTTTCCTGCACTTTCGTGTAAATAGCTGTTTCCTATAGCCCAGCCATACGAATGACTGTTTTTCACCGAACAAAGCTACCGAACGGATGGCCACCCAGGAGAGAAGTGTGCTGCTGGTCAACCTATTGATCCAAATTAGAACGTTGTGGTTAACCACAGACACTTCTCAATTAAAACGAATTCAGGGTGGCCGTCTGTAACGGATCGCCTGGCACCCCGACTGGGTACCTCCGTTAAAGGATGCTCCTAGCGCTTCCTGAGGACTCCAAGCACTGCAGCAGACACCACAACCACCGAACCGGAGAAGCATATGAATCCTCTCAAGCATATGAATGCTGTAGACAGTTGAATAGGAACCATACGAATAGGTTTACTCTCCTAGGAATCAAACTGGAACAGCATACAATAAATCCTTCCCCCAATAATGAGACAACACTTCACTTTGAGGGTTAAAACAGGAACTTCCTGTACTGTCACATACAGTCTCTTTTATTCCCATTCCACAAACATAGTACAGCCCACAGGGCGTTACAAAACAACCAATCAATCCGTACAATACACCCAGACACTCCCACACAAAATCCTCCCCTCTCCAGGTGATATGATTACCGAACACAATGGGTAATCTCATTATCACCGGCAGAGGAATACAGTTTTTACACAATATTTATAACTTCTAAAATATACATGTCACAAACATAAAACATACATTTTCATAATCAATCCATTCAGGGGAACAACATATTAAAAAAATGGCACGAATCAGACCAGGGGTTCAAAAGTTAAGGGAAAGTCCTTTGTGACTAAATGAAGCATGGCTTTCCGGCCCAAACCAGTTTCAGAGTCTTCTATCCTGGAGATTGAATTGAGAAGTAATTCAATTATCTCCCAGGACAGACACAAGACTCCATTAAGCACATGGTTGCAAAAAGACACAAAACACTTTAAAATACATAAAGTCACCTTTTACACATAAGACACAGACATTTCACATATCCCCAGATAGCTGGGATCTGAGCGCACAAAACTACCGAATAGCGCTCAGATCCTATTCACACAGTTCAACTGCCATGGAGCCGAAGTCTTTAACTACACGAATGGGCTCCATGGCATAGCTATCTGGGTTAACACATTCACATAAAGTCTGGTCCATAGTCCAAAGGCAAGAGGCGGGCAAGCAGCCCCCTCCAAGGACATGTGGCGAGGCCGGTTTCACCACATTTCTCCCCTTTACCATCCAGACTAACAGGGTATCAGACCTCCTGCCGGTCAGTGCCCTGGTTAGTCCAGCAACCCACCCACGAAGCACAAACAGCAATACAGCCCACCCACAATAACTGGTTACTACACCTGGATAATATATCAACTTGTCCATGTCCAGGTGATCCGTTACACCGTCGTTCGTATGTCGACCACGAGGCAGCGGCCATTTTAAAACACACGAAAGCCCAGCGGTGTTCGGCTCTATTTTCATGGAACTAAAAACGGACACTTTTTATGCCAAACACCGCTGAAACAACGGGACACCTGGCTGCCTCCACGAAAACATACGAACACCGGCCGTTCGGGAGTTTTACAGCACATAAAAAGACTTAAAAAAACCCAGATAGCCCTCCCATGGAGTCAATCACATACCGAAAGACTGTAAGGACTTTGACTCCATGGCGATTGAACTATGTGTGTGGGATCTGAGCGCTATTCGCCAATAATATGCATTCAGATCCAGGCTATCTGGGGATATGTGATGTGAATAAGAAATGTTCGGTTATTTTCAGATTATGTATTTTCTGGTTTTGTATCTAAGATGGCAATTTGTCTTTGTCCTGGAGATAATTGAATTACTTCTCAATTATCTCCAGGGCAGAGGGGAGGAGACCATATTGCATTGTGGGAAAAACCTGTAAGTGTATGTCTGAAATGTCCCCCTGTCTGTCATTTCAGTCTCCCATTTGGTCCCCTAGGGGAGTGTCCACCAAGTGGGAGACCTGCATAAATATGGGCAGGTAGCCCACAGTAAAGCCAAATCCTGTTTAAACCTCAATGCGGAGCTTCTGTCTCGTTATTGGGGGGGGGATTTCTTCTTTGCGCTTAGAGACTGCTGATTGGAACCGAAAGCCGCTTGGTGGATATCGTTGTTCGGTGGCTAGCAGCAGTTCGTGGATTTCCTTTCACAGAGTTTGGAGCCTTTCACAGATCCCGGTCGGGAGACTACCGCTTCCCCTGGTTATGGTTCGTGGATTACAGTTTATGCGAATGGATTACTGATTTTGCGAAAGGGGAAGGCGATTTAAACGGCGGTTTCATTTAAAGACACCCGTGGTGTCTTAACAACCGCTGTTCGTGCGTTAAGATGGCCGCGAACACGTGCAAAGTCCCGAAAGGGCGGCCACCTAGGATCTGAGACAAAGGATTCGTGCATTTCTCATACGAATGGTATATGCCGGTCTGGGAGGTAAAATACCACATAATTGGATAGCAGGGTGGTCCGGTGTTCGGCAGTTTGTATTCGTATTTGTGCCTGCTGAGTCTCTACCGCATGGATTGCACAAATAGACGAATAGTCCCGAACTGTGCTATAATAATACCCATAACCAGGTAAGCATATGCTCTTGTATCATTAGTCTTGGTTATTGTCAAATATGTCCAGGCAGAAAGTAAAGTTCTGTTACATTTAGGTTTTTTTATCCTCTGCCATGTTAATAGCTTACTAGACCCTGCAAGAGCCTCCTGTATGTGTTTAATGTTAAATTTACAGATAAAGAGATACAATTGGTTAATGTGGCGGAACCAACCTCGCCACTGTACACTGGAGAAGCCTGGTTGCTCGCCTGCTCCCTTTAGACTATGGCCCGGCAGTTTAAACCTTTTATTTTCCCTGCAGAAATGCCATGCTTCATTTGATCACAAAGGACTTCGATCTATCTTTTGAACCAATGGACCAATTTGGATGATTTTGACATATGTTTGTATTTGGAGTATGCTGATTCTGAAGATTGGATGTGTGGTTTTAAAGTTACAGGATATGTGTAAAACTGTATTTTTACTGCCTGTGTTAATTATGTTAAACCATTGTGTAACATAATTAGATCACAGGCAGAGGGGAGGATTTTTGTATGTAATTGCTGGGAGTGTTTCTGTACTTTAGGTGTATGATTGGTTGTTTTGTAAAACCCTGTGGGTGGTCCTATCTAAGGGAAACCTGCATAAAAGAAGGTTCGTTTGGTGCTAGTAAATATATTCTGCTTAACCCTCAAACAAAGTGTCGTCTCATTATTGGGGGAATTGGATGGTATGCTGACTGCCAGGAGTGTAAACCTTGCATATGGTTTTTCCTGTTCAGCTGTTTCCAGTATTCGTGTGTGTAGCAGAGAGCTGGTATTACACAGCCTATCTCCACTTTGGATCCCAGGGAGGTTCAGGACCAAGCAATTATAAATCCATAGGGTAAAGTATCCAGCAGGCAAAATAACAGCAGTATCCCAACAGCAATCCCAATAACTGGACGACACACGGTTTCAGGAGCAGAACTAAAGCTTTATTCAGACAGTGGCCTTTTAACGCATGCTCCCATGCAAGGGAGGGATTTCCATTCATTAGTACAGTAGCCAATCCTGTTCTGGTAACCTCCCACACATCTCCTCCACTCAGCCTGCATCATAATCCCCTTAACCAGGACACCAATTCCCCCCGTTTCTGGATGTACCCCTAAACCTAGGGGTACCGCTTTAAATTATACATCCCCTGGTAGCCCTGATCTGGGTAAACAACATATCCAAAAATCACCCAGATCAGACCAGGGGTTTGGGAAATTTATGGAGGGAATAAAATGACTGACCGCGCTGGAAAGAGTAGCCGAATTGGGTTCCATGCGATGGGGCCCTGCGGTCGGTCCTGGAACAAGGGAATAAATTACATGAAAGCCTTCAGTTACAGAGACTAGGGAGGGTTCGCCTGAATCCCCTCGTTCGGTTGTTTCTGTCTACCGAACGAGGGACCGTTCGGTAGTTTGGAACTACCCCCAAAATACCTTAAAAACACATAAAATCCCAATAAAAGTTACATCCCCTGATAGCCCTGATCTGGGGGACCAACATATCCAAAAATCACCCAGATCAGTTCAGGGGTTCAGATGGCACTTTGAATGGCTTCTGGAGTTTGAAGTGCCACTTCGAAAGTTCGGATAGTTCCTCTTACCAGTCCCAACAGGCACAAATGGTGTTTTCCAATAGGGTTTAACACGGGGGCCATAGTTACCGGGTAGGAGGTTGGTAAGCATGCCCCTCCAAGGACCCGTGACAAGGTCCAGTTCGTCACAATAGTGTTCCATTAATCAACATTCCCCTGGGTGACAACCAGGGGGAGCGTTCAGATCCCGAAGAGGGATGCTTCCCTTGTGGGGGGGTTCACACCGGGACTCCAGGGATGGGTCCCTGATGTTGGTGGGGATCTCTTCTGGGGTACTGGTGGTCCTAATCACCATAACCTACTCCTAAAGGAGTTATAATCACTGTTCCCCTACCTGGGGGCTGCAAGGCCAGGCTCGTAGCTTCCCAAGGAGCGCCCCCCCAGGGTCTGCCTCAGTGGAGGCGGCCGCCGGGGAAAGGCGTAAGCCGCCGAGTCCTCGCTGGGCGTCTGGAAGTCTGTGCCGACCAATGGGAGAAAGCGCTCCCCTTCAAACTGGGTTTGTGCCATTCTCCTGATTGGTTGACCTGAGGGAGCGCTGATTGGTCGCTGCGAGGTGCAGGCGACCAATCAGAGAAGGAGCGTTTTCCAAACGGGGTGTCGCACCCTTTCTTCAGATTGGGCGGTGAAACTCCTCTCCTCCCAGAGTGCTGATTGGCGCGATTTGGTTCGTGACCTTTCAGCTGATTGGTTGTTGCTTGGTTTAGGCGCGAAGTTTGAATTCACTGGCCTAATCACTGGAACTAATTTTGGGGATGTACAGAGCCTTGAGCCCCAGACTTTAGACGACGATTTCTCAGGCTCTGTACATCCGATAGCTCCGCTATTTGCAGGGATCACAGAGGGGACCCTGGGCTATACAGTGATGTGTCTGATATCTATGATCCCTTCCCGGGGCGCAGAGCCCCTAAGTATGTACTATGTTTTAATGTGTGTAACTATTGTCCAGTTGGTATCTCCCAGAACGGGAGATGGTTATCTGCTGTAAGCCACCCCCCACCAGCCTGGGACTGAGGAATTTGTACTGAATTAATGGAGACCCCCTTTGGGGGTCTGTGCATAAAAGAAGCCTGTTTTCAATAAAGATTGTCACCTCCAGAACTGTGACTCGTCCAGTTATTGAGGGGGAAATTGGTCTCTTTGTATTTTAAAATGGTTCCTGATTGGCTGAAGGAAGGGAATTAGCGGAGGTAACCGGTTGGGTTACTAGGTGGTTCGCTACAGCTGATAAATAGTAGAGATGAGCCCTTTGTTTTATGGAAGCAATAGCAGAGATCCTGTGCACAAGTAATCTTGTGTTCGATGAAACCAGACTAAATCAAAGAAACTCGGAAATAATCTACTACACACCTTTCCATTCTAATTACGGCGTCACCATGAGACCTCAGCCCTTCTAACACTGCCATATATTTCCATGGTTCAGCTCACCTTACTAAAGGAAAAGATGGGAATGGCGGGTGTCATCCACCGGGGGACCTGTGGATAATCTCTCACATTAATCACTAACTCCATGTCCGGAAGGTGTGGCAGAAGCTGCAGCAGAAAGTGCTCCACTCCGCTGCACCTATGAAAGAACCAAGAAACCAGAGACACAGAGTCAGAACAAATAGGCAACATTAACAAGTTAAAGACATCAACCGACAATACAACTGGGGTATATGGACACCACCACACAGAGCTAGACACTAACACACAGAGCTAGACACTAACAGAGAGCTAGAGAGGGATGCAGAGACACCACCGCACAGAGCTAGGCACCAACGCACAGAGCTAGGCACTGTAACGGCACCCCCAGGCATAAGAGACACCAATCACCTGAACACCGTAAACAGCAGAACCATACGAATGCTGTAAACAGCCGAATAGGAAAAACCATACGAAAGGTTTACACTCCTAGCAGTCGAACTGGAACAGCATACAATAAAACCCTCCTAAGAACGACACAAGGCTCTGTGTTGAGGGTCAAGCAGTGAGCTGGGTCTTTATTGGCCTTATATACACATTCTTACACATTAGTACCACCCACAGGGTTTTGCAGAACAACCAATCAATACGTACAATACACTCATACACTCCCAGCAATTACACACAAAATCTTCCCCTCTACCTGTGATATAATTACTAAACACAATGGGCTAACATAATTATCACAGGCAGGAAAATACACAGTTTTACACAATATTCATAACTTTAAAAGTATACATCACATTTACATTTTCTGAATCAGCATACTCCAAATACAAACATACGTCAAAATCATACAAATTGGTCCAGTGGTTCAAAAGATAGATGGACGTCCTATTTGACCGACTGCAAGCATGGCTTGGGTGTGGTAAGTCAATTATCTCCAGCATACAGAAAACATCTCTATTCACAACAGCAGCAAAAATACACAAAAATACGTAACTCCTATCATACTGAACAGAACCCCCACATTCAACCTATCCCCAGATGGCTTGGATCTGAGCGCTCAATATATTCAAACAGCGCTCAGATTCCACAAACACAGTCAAATCGCCATTGGGTTTAAGTTTAGCATGGGCTGATGAGATGGGGCCATAGTCATGAGGCAGGAGGCTGGCAATCAGGCTTCTCCATAGCCCAGGGAAGCAGGGCAATTTCTCATAAGAGAAAATAGGGACAAAAAGCGTTTTGTAACACAGGCTTCTCCAGAACATAGTGGCGAGGTTGGTTTCACCACATCCACTAACACAGAGAGCTAGACACTAACACACAGAGAGCTAGAGAGGGACGCAGAGACACCACCGCACAGAACTAGAGAAAGACACCACCACACTGAGCTAGAGAAGGACACACAGACTCCACCGCACAGAGCTAGAGAAGGACACCACCGCACACAGCTAGAGAACGACACACAGACACCAAATACAATGAAAGACACGTAGACACCATCGTACAGAATTACCAGGGATGAAAGATATCTGAATACCATGGTGATTATTCACTAAACACTTAATTATAGTGAATTCAAAACTGAATTTCATAATTAAGGCAAAATTGATTTGGAAAATTTCAGTATTTTGTTGCAATTTGGTTTTCAATTTACTGCAATTTGGTCTTTAGTGAATAAAATCCCCATTTGCTGAGGATAAAAAGCAGACACAAGGAGACAGAATTACTAGGAGACAAAGAGAATGTGTAGAACATGAGGTGAATAACCAAGTGATTGAGGACATAAGACAGGATTATCAGTGGATAACTTACATGTGGACAACATGAGACAATGGAACTAAAAGCAGGACTCAAAAAAGATCAATCAAGGAAGGCACTATGCCACATTCACTTACCGAGCGGGGAACATGCACTCTTCCTCTCGGTACAGGCGGTGGCTAATGATTTGGTAGTGGGTTCCAAGCTTACGGCTCAAAATATTGGTCATCAAGTCCCTAGAAATTCCAGAGCTAAACGGTGCCAGGTCCTGCTGGAGCACTCTGTGAGCAAAGAATTTGGTCATTTAGATACCTCCTACACAGTGTACCCGTCCCACAGAACACAACAACTAGTTTTAGGGACTTTGATATATTTGGATGTATGTACACAAGGGACAGAACTCCTCTGGCATCCTACTCAGAGACCACATCAAGTCTAATGCAGATGGGGGATGATATGCCCAGTTATCCAAAAAGATGGAATCGTAACCTGGAAATAAGGCCCAGTCTGGACAGGAAAATGTACGATTGATAGTGTATTACTAACGCCCGGGGAACATGAAACACAGATGAGATCTGCACACGGAGGTCTCAGAAACTGATCCATAGCAAAGAAAGTAGTCACACCTGTAGTAGCAGGTCTCATTGTGACTGTCACATGGGCTGTGATAGGTCAGCGCTCTCTGTATGCGATCCAAGTACTGGGTCCAGCGGGAGTCTGATGGTAAGGAGAGCACAGGTTAGAAATGGTGGAGAATGCTAAACTATAAACAGAATAAGCGTGCTCTATAAGGTGCAGTAGGTACAATTCACCAACAAGGAGTTCCCCCACCCTTGTGGGTACAAATCAATACAAAAAAAAATAAAATAAAAAGTTGAACAGCGCTGGAACTTCAAATTCCATACGTAGAGGAAGAGGACAAATTCCAAAATATGTATTTTTTTTTTTTTTGTTCAATTTGACAATTTTTATTATCATTTTTCAGGGGCACAGAAAGGAAAACGGGGATGTTAGGGGTAAAATGTTTCAAAATATGTATCTCAAAGAAAAAAAAAAGGAACAAAATAATAGTGCCAAAGAAACATTCACACTTAGTCTTTTATACAGAATAACGCCCGTCTAAGGATTTCATTATACAAGTCAGCAGGACCTTATTCCCAAATGGATGATGGTCACCATATACAAAAAAGAAGAGAATAGAGAATCCAATGGTATGGTATGTAAAATAACCGCACTTCTTTTGGATCAACAGCAAAAAATAGATGTGAGAAAGGCTGACTTTTATGGACATCTCTTTCCAGCCTGTAACTATGGACCTCTGTGTCAGAACCCATGTTTATGGGTATAAATAGCGGTGTGTGTTCAGTCTTAAATAATGTGTAGGGAAAAGTACAGGAGCTCCGCTACTAACTAACTATCTCTATATATATATATACATATACACACACACACACACACACAGTAAAACCACTCGTTTCTATATTAGCTATTAGGTTTCATCATTAGTTTTTTTGTAATTGTCCTATTTATAGTTAAATCCACCCCTCTTATAATATTGTAAAGCGCTACGGAATTTGTAATGGGGTGGGGGGGAGGAGGGAGGATGTCTGGCTGTAATGGGGGGTTGGGAGGGTGTGTGGCTGTAATATGGGGGAGGGTGTGTGTGGCTGTAATATGGGGAGGGTGTGTGTGGCTGTAATGGGAAGGGGTGTGTGTGGCTGCAATGGGGAGAGGGTGTGTGGCTGTAATATGGGGAGAGGGGTGTGTGGCTGTAATGGGGAGAGAGGGGGTGTGTGCTGTAATGGGAGAGGGGTGTGTGGCTGTAATGGGGAGAGGTGTGTGGCTGTAATGGGGAGGGTGTGTGTAAATGTAATGGGGAAGGTGTGTGTGTGGCTGTAATGGGGGGAGGGTGTGTGGGGCTGTAATGGGGGGAGGGTGTGTGTGGCTGTAATGGGGGGGATGTGGCTGTGATAGGGGGAGGGTGTGTGGCTGTAATAGGGGTGTGTGTGGCTGTAATGGGGGTAGGGTGTGTGGCTGTAATAGGTGGGGGACATAATAGGAGGGGGAGGGGTGTCCTATAATTGGGTAGACAATGGGGGGGATTGTTGGCATTACAATAATTATTATTATTAAATACAAAACCACTTCCACCTCAGGATATGTCATTCTGAGATGGTTACAAATGTAAGGTAATTTGTAAGTAATACTTATATAATGGTGGACAGCTTACCTTGGATTACTTCCCAGGTAAATAAGGTAAATAAAGTGCTCCAAAAGGTGCCTCCCCCGTTGGACATGGGGGGCTCCAAGCCCTTACTGGATCCGTCCATTCCAAGGCAAAAAACTGGACTCCAGGTGACAGATATACTTATAGCAGCTTTTTTATTAAAGTATTCGTTAAATTTGAAAATAAAACAAGATGGGAATTTAAAATAGCTGTAAGTCTTATGCGTTTCGTCCCTAGTGCATGGGACTTCCTCAGGGACCAACATATCGGCAGTGACAAGCGGTTATCATTAAACAGCATAAAAAAAAAAAAAAAATAGTGGACGGATCCAGTAAGGGCTTGGAGCCCCCCATGTCCAACGGGGGAGGCACCTTTTGGAGCACTTTATTTACCTGGGAAGTAATCCAAGGTAAGCTGTCCACTGTTAGACAAGTGTTACTTACAAATTACCTTACATTTGTAACCATCTCAGAATGACATATCCTGAGGTGGAAGTGGTTTTGTATTTAATAATAATAATAATTATTATTGTAATGCCAACAATCCCCCCCATTGTCTACCCAATTATAGGACTCCCCTCCCCCCTCCTATTACAGCCAGGCACCCCTCGCCCCTCCTATTATGTCCCCCACCCAGCCAGACACCCCCCACCTGCAGCACACACCCTCCCTAATACAGCCCCCTCCCCATTACAGCCCCCCCCCCACTGCCCCCTACTACACCACACCCACCCCTTCCCCATTACAGCCAGCCCCCCCCTCCCTATTACAGCTGGCCCCCCCTTTCCATGGCCCAGCCAAGCCCCCTCACCTATACAGCCTGCCCCCCTCTCACATTACAGCCAAGCTCCCCTTCCCCCTATTACAGCCAGCTCCCCCCCTATTACAGCCAGCTCCCCCCTCCCCCTATTACAGCCAGCCCCCGTTACGATTGCCCCCGGTCTAGCAGGGGGGTTGATCGCTTGGAGGTCCTGGTTCCCGCTGTAGAGAGTCGAACGGAGGTCCTTCGGTAATAAGCTGCAAGTGTAGAGTATTCCAAACATGGTATAAGCATCAATATCCCGGATCCCTACAACATGAGTCGAGGCTGCAAGTTGAGGGTCAAAACGAACTGGCTTTACTGGCACACAAACATGGCAATTTATGCGGTTCCTCAGGTCCAAGGACAGCCCCTTGTGGACCTGATGGAATACAGGTACAGTACAAACAGGTGACCAATCATAGTACAGTGTATCGTTTGAATTAGTACCCGCCCAGCTTGGAGATAATTAGATTGTATAACCGTTGGCCTCATTATCTCCAAGCGCACAAAAGACCACGTTTTATTATGCCTCATAAAAACTGTATAAAAATCCATAACTTTAACATCAATAGAGGAAAACAGTTCATTCTACCATTCATTCCATAGCTCGCGTTCGAGCACATTAAACATACGAATGGCGCTCCAATCCCACGGGCAGAATGATCTATTTCTGCTGAATAAAGTCCTTTCGGTATTTTGGATCATGAGTCTCTGATGGCGGCCATGTTTTTAGACGGTTTAACGAGCAGCGGGACCTCGCCTCCAACTTATGGAACTAAACTCTGGTATCAGTTCATGCGAATCCCCGCTGTCTGTCTGGTAGTGGAACTCGTTCGGTACATGAATGAGGACCACCTGGTAGCATGGTACTTGAGTTGCAGTTAACCGCAGAAACCACAGGCTAATTGCTGCCACACGACCCACTGTAGGGGGTCTCCGTTCATGAGGTTATTCGGTAGGTTCCCTTCGGTGATTTGTGTGCGAACGTCGATCCTCCAGGCCAGTCAATTAGTCTGTGGTTAACCGCAGACGCCTGGGTGGTTAATGGGCGCCACACTCCGCTGGTCGGGTGGTCGACCGTTCGGTACTTTGCAGGGTGAAGAGGTTTATTGGCGGCACACGCCAGCGTTTGGGGGGTCTCTCGTTCGTATCACGAATGGGGTCTTTATAAGAATTCATGTAATCCATTCGTGTTTCCTCTGGTTAAATGTATAGGGTTGTAACAGTAGCAACATGTAATAACAATAATGGAGTCATTTTGAGTCTTTTGTAACACCCCCC